TTCATCACTGTGTCCCACTATAGCCAATTTGGCAACCATTGGACACAATAAGAAAGAATAGGATTATCTTGGAAAATATTAAAAGATATTTATAGTTTATCACTCTGTCCCACTATAGCCAATTTAGGGCACTGAATAAATTGTTAGATTATCACCCCCTCCCCACGGGAAAAATTCTTGAAATATTGATGTGGGAATAAAAACAAACATTTTTTTTTTGGGCCGCATCAATTATTTTAACAGCATAACACAATGCTATTTTATGAATTCAGATGCATTTCTTTAAAAAAAACACTATAAAATTAAACCAGTTTTTATACAATATTTACTAGGCCTATTACTAGCCAAATATAAATAGTCCTTCCCTCATCAATAAAGACAAAAGCGCAATAACGAATTGTTATGATTTTTAAAAAAAACAAAAACAAAAACCGCCCTCCCTCATCGTTTTTTTTTTAAAGAGTGATAATCTAATAATTTTTTCTATGTGCTCTTAGCAGCTATTGAACACAATGAAAAAGAAAAGGTTTAACTTAGAAAATATTAAAGAAGACAAGTTGTACTTCATCAATGTGTCCCACTATAGCCAATTTGGCAACTATTGGACACAATGAAAAAGAATAGGATTTTTTTTGAAAATATTAAACCAGTTATTTATAGTTTATCACTGTGTCCCACTATAGCCAATTTAGGGCACATAGAAAAAATTATTAGATCACTATTTTTTTTTAAATCAGAACAATTGCTTCTTTTAATAGATGAGGGAGGGAAGAATATTGTAAATATTGTATAAAAACAGGTTTAATTTTTATTGTTTTTTAAAGAAAACGTATTTCCAATCACAAAATTACATTGTTTTTTATGCTGTTGAAAAAATGATGCGGCCAAGAAAAAGAAACATTTTTTTAAATTTCCGCATCAATATTTCCCAATTTTGTTGACGCGGGCTGGAGTGATGATCTAATAAATTTTTTTTGTATAAGCATAATTATGATCTGTTCATTGTGCGTTCGATTTTGATAACGATAGGAATGATAGGAGCACTGTATGATCAATGTGCGCCAAAATAAATAGATGATTAAGAAAAAGTATGATGCCGTTTATTTGTACAATATTGGTATTGTTTCTAAAATTTGGTGGAGTAATGTAGTTCATGTGGTTATCATTGGAAATTTATTGATCTATTAGTAAATTCTATAATCTGGTTGTTGTACGCATATAGACATATTTTTTACATTTTTCATTTTATTTCTTTATTCATATTCTATGCAATTCATGACAAAGTAAACTCAACCATACATATTCAAAAACAGAGCGACGAAAAGGACCTCCACGAAACTCTTAAGAGCTTTTAAAATGGAGACCCGGTGTTAAAATTAAAGTTTGTTTAGACATAAAGACAGTATATAACTGCCTAA